TTATGAATTAGGATGCATGTACCCTCTTTAGATGTAGAGCTGTTTGACTAGTAGTAGGTAAAATGTTGGTTGTTGTAAAATTTTTTGTTTTTAGTTTCTGCTATTTTGGTTTCGAGTAGGCACATTATTTGTAAATTGTTTTGAGAACAATATTCTTTTACTAGAAGTTTCTTTTCTATATTATTGAAATCTTGAATATTGTAGATAGCAATGTTGAGATTAAGTGTTTCATGTGTTTGAGCCATAAGAGGGATGTCGAGATAGTGGTGTAGAAGCTTTTGACTAATAAAAGTATGTTCTGGTAATAAGTGCAGTTTGGAGAATAAATAGATATAGGCTCACTAATGTTAGTATTAATAGAAAAAATAGCATAATGTTGAGGTTCTGCATATCCTAATTAATCAAACCTATATCAGACATCATAGTAAAAATTAGTAGTACAGATTTTTATTATACGTATATATGATATAATAATTACAAGATAATTTATGCGATTTACAGATTTAATAAAAAAGTTTTTAATGTCATAAAAATAGTTCTTTAAAAAGTTTGTCTGCAATTTGTTTTTGTTTATTGAGTTCGGTATTTAATGCACTAAGATCTTGTTTAGATTTATTTTTGCTTCGAATATCTTTAAGTTGTTCAGTATTAAGCTGAACTTCATTTATATTGGCTACTGAAAAGTGCATTTTGGATTGTTGAGTATTATGGGCCATATTAAAGTGAGTTTTCAAGTCCTACTTGTTAAACAAGCCTTCTATCTGTTGTTGATGAACAATAATATACCAAATCTTGTTCTTGACAAAATCATATAGTTGTGGATATTCGTAAAGCAAAACATTTAAGCCTTCAACAAATGAGTGAAATTTTTGAAAAAAAGAGTCATTGGTTAGTGCAATTTTAAAACCAAAATCTTCAAGCCTTCTTTGTTCAACATCAATTCTAAGAAACTGTGCATAACATAATTCTTTTAGAGTAGGAAGCTTTGGCCAAGGTTTTTTAAAAACAACATGCCAATAACTAAATGCAAATTGTTGGGTATTATCTTCATCAAGACAGCAAACACTTAGAGGAAGATAAAACCAACAATTTAACTATTTTTGATGTAAGTTGAGCCCTTTTTGTAATCCACATTCTAAATTTTTAATTAATAAATCAATCTCTAAATCATTCATAATTTCTGTGCTTCATAAAAATTCAGCTTCAAAAAACAAATAAGTATTTTCTAAAATATTTATAAGTTTTGATGTAGAATTAATTATAAAATCTGGCATCTGATGAGCTCGATGGCCAGGTGGTAAGTATTGTAATAATTCTGAATATGTAATCCTAAGCTGTGGATTATAACTGACAAGAAACCTTGTAAATAGGTGATAAAATTCTTGGCCAAACTTAACTAAACATTGAATTTTTATATTTAATTTAGGATCATTTAACCAGGTTTGAAACAATTCCCATTTTTGAATATAAGAAGTTGGTGCTTTTTTTAAACCTTTAAGTTTTGGAAGGAACTACATAATGAATTCTAAATGAATTTCATAACTTTCAAGGTATTGCTCTGCAGTGATCAACTCATATTGCCATCTTGAGTGTAAAGGTTGTTGATACTTGTTTAATTAATAACCAAATCATGCTTTGTAGAGCTTTTGAATTGATTCACTTCTTATATTTAATGGTGAGTCTTTATTATTTCGATTATACCCATCATGCAACATCCATGCCAAGTATAGAAGATTGTATAAATGACAAGTTTTAGAAAATTCTGTAACCATTAGAAGTTTACCAAAGGTCATTTCTTCAAAATTATTTAAAATTAAATGTAGCACATATAATCCACAAGGTATTTGAACATAATTACTTTCAGTTAATTAATTGAATTTTGATACAGCATCACCAACTTTGCTGCTCATATAATTCGTGTTATCAGAGAGAAAAGTAAGACTTTGTTTGGTATTTAAATTGTATTTTTTACAAGTTTCTACAAGAGCCTGACTAATAGTATCAGAATTATACTATAAAAGATCTTTAGTTTCTAGAAGTATTGTGTCAGGCAGGTTTTTGGCTGAATTCCAAAACATAAAACACTTGATAAGTATTTTTTTTCATCTCAATCTGATTCATCTGCCATAATTCCAAATGTAAAATAATTTGACTGGTTTGTTTGTTGGAATATATTTCATTTATGCAGTTCTGAAATCTCATGATGCCAATGACTAATACTAGCATCAGAAACCCATGACTAGGTATTATTCCCAGTTAAAAAATTAAAAATTGTTTTTATGCTTGTTACCACAGTAGCAAATGATGTTTGTTCAATTTGTGAAACTTGTGTTATAAGTTTTATAAATTCTAAATTATATTCTTTGTTATTTTGCATAATCAAATTTTTAATTACTGCTTTCATATCATTAGCCTTCAATTCTGGTAGATGTTTAGCTATAGCATGAATTTGAGAGATATATTGGTGTTGTTTACATTTAAGTTGTACAACTGAGCCATTAAGTTGTTGAACCTTGTGGATTATATGATCTTTAGATTGTTGTAATTTTTTAACATTTTGTTTAAGTTGCTTATTTTGATGAGTTAGATTTTTTAAAGATTTTCCAGATTTGTAAAAAGAATTTGATATGTATTGATAAGCTTTATTTTGTATATAAGAAAATATGATTTGGTCTTTATTTTTTCTATAGAGATATCTTATAGTGTATAAAAGATGCGATGTAGATTTGAGACTTGTTTCAGGCATTTCATTAAGTGTATTGATTATCGAATTATACATTTTAGACGAATGTGATTTAACAGTATTTGAAACATTAAAGACTGTATTATATATTATTTGAATTTTATAAGTAGTAGTTTTTTCTAAATGATTAGTAATTTTATTAATGATCACTTAATGCTTATTCAACTCATGTTTTTTGACAAGTGATTCAAGTGCACCCTTTAGTTGTAATTTATGTTTTGATGGTTTAGACATTGAATTCAATATTAAATTACTATATGTGTGAAAGTATCTTTTTAAAGCTATACTTTTACTAATAAAATTTATTTTCAAAAGTCAAATTGAAATAAATGTACATCTTTCAGTGCTTTTAAATTTTTATTTACAAAACTCGAATTAAAACAAATACATATTTTTTTAACAAAAGCGAAGTCCTAAAAAGCAAAACTTTACAACAATACTTAATATTTAATATAATAAACCCATTTTTTTGACAAACATATTTTTTTTTTTTTAGTTAAAGCATAAAAACAACAAAAGCAATGTCTTAAAAAAATACAGCACTAAAATTAACTTAAAAACCCACAATGAAACTTAATATATAATATTATAAGAGCTATTTTTTTAAAATTACAGTTTTAAATTTTTAAGAACAAAGGTCAATTTATCACAAATGCTCTTTGTTTTTTTGTTAAAACACATGTAGTGATAACAAAAGAGAAGTTCCTATTAAGGAAAAGTTTTAAAGTGCTTAATTAATTATAAATCTAAAACTGTAACTTCTTTTGTTATATCATGCAGATCATTTTTTTTATAAAAATTGCTAGGAGAAAATGATAAATGCATGAGATGTATCGATTTTCTTGAACATAGTCTTTGCTAGTAAATATGCTTCGATTTTGCTGATCCTATTTTATGCATAAAATTCAGCATATGCTATTATTATTATTATATCTCACATGATTTTGATTAATTAAGATATGCAGAACTCCAGCATAATGTGTAAGATTATGTTGTTGAAGGTGTTTAAAAAAAGAACCAATAGTTTGGTCTTATGGGATTAGAGATAAATTGAAGTGTGCAAGAAATTTGTTGTAACAGACTTTAGAGTTGTAAGTATGTAGAGGTTTGTAATTAGTTTTTTTGAAATTTGTATTGTAATTCTTAGAGTTATATAATAGGGTGGTCTCTAAGAATAAGTATTTGTCTTTTACTAAGGCACTCACCATTTGAAGCTTGGCTCTTACAACTGTGAAGATTTTTATAGTCTGCTCTGTATGTTGAGTCTGATCATCATTTGCTTAGTTCTTCGCATAACTTAAATTTTTAATATTTAATTTCAGATATATTTATTAATGAAAATTGAATCTAACAAAAAAATATTAAATCTTGCATTAATTCAATGGTATGATTTTAAATCTAAAAAGAATCCATATTATTATGGGTGTTCTAGACTTTAAT